ATTGATATCAATTCCGTGGATGGACTGCAAGAAATCTCTTGACCTGCAATGCAGCTTCCTCCATCCGACTGTCTGGCATTCATTTTCACAGCTCTTACTCATTAATTAAGCGGCCCATTCGAATGAAAACTGACAGATACATACATATATTTCCCCATTTGTATCAAGTAAAATTGCAATTATTTTCAATAAGTTGGAAGTTCTTTTGATTGCAAAACGGCTTTTATTCGTTCATTTTCCCCCCAACAAAAAGTTGAACTCTATCGATTGACCGATTAACATACACTCTTCCCTGATTAATGGCCATCGAAGAAACATTTTTTTGTTGTTGTTTTGTGTCTGGTTAATGGTTGATGGATCGTTTAGTGGCGGCCCTAGTCACTGTCACTAAGCAGTGCATTGCTTTGAGGGCCATTTACAGACGTTAGGGTACTACACGTTGTGTGAGCCCCATCCATCAATCATCTCTTCCGCCAGATCATCAATGGGTCATGGCTTCGATTTGTTGCTGGGTTTTCAGGTCTCTCTTTCGTTTCTATGTTTAGCTGTTAAAAGTTAAAAGTCTTTCGAAACGTTGTTTAACAAAGTTTAAGCTTGGCAGCCGCATAGACCCCCATTGATGTCTATATTGAACTCTTCATTTAAATTTGATTGTTTCCATAGATTATATGTATCGTTTGATTGTGTGATTTTTGGGTTGGGATAAGTGATGAAAGCTGGCATATGCAGATTAAGTTCCGTCATGGTTTAGTTAGGGTCTCAAAAATGTTGAATAAACTTTGATTTTGAATGTCAAAACAGCGGGCAGTTCCGTTAAAATATATGAAAGAAAAAGTAGGGCCATTGGGTAACGAAAAATAATGGTATGCAGTTAAAAATAAGGATTATGTACTCTGATTCGTTATAATATTCCTCAAAAAACCTTTTAAATACCACTAGTATTTAGTATTCCAACACTATAACTTTTATTAGCACCTTTTTTTGTCAGTCCGCAAGTGGACACTCCCTTGAGCAATCTTAACTTTATCTTTTATTTATAATATCACATGAAAAGGCACGTTTTATGCAAACAATTCTTATCGCTTAGGTCTTTCCAATCGGTGAGTAAGAGCGATAGCAAAACTTTATTTCCATAAAGTATGTATGCAAAAAGCTTTGGTTCTTATCGCGCAATCACGCAACTTAAGAACCCACAATGTGTGGAGACACCTCTAAAGCTCAAAATATTTATCTACTTTGAAGATGAAAGATCATAATACGCAATCATCTTTCATCGGTAATCATCGGCAATTATCTCTCTGGCCTGAGCTCCATTAGCACCTCCTCCACACACAAGCCAGAAAAAAAACGTCCCACAAAGAACCGTACAGAAAAAAAGTGTTGAAACGTTACGTAAGAATATGAATACCACTCACCGAGAACCCCTCCCCACCCGTCAATCCACTCTTCGCAGACAGACCAAAAATAGGAGAATTCTAATCATTTTATTGATTAATGCCGTTCGATTAGCAGAGGGCCATAAAAGAAACCAATATGGATGGGGAGAAGTTTAGGGGTAAAAAGAGACAAAGGCATGTCCAAATTTGCTTTCAATATTCGTCATCAAGAGGGAAAGAGAAAAACAACAAAAATGGAAACTAAATTTGGAAGTCAATGGAATGTCAAGAGGCAGAGGGAGGCAGTGGGGTGGAGAGTATGCTCTCGAACAGCTTCCATGTACAGCCTACCTGCTTTTATGGTTTATAAATAGCACATACCCCCTCCACCCTCTCACCACACAAAAAATTACACATGGACAATGAGCCTCCTCCCAACTCTTCGTTCACACACACACAAACCCACTCTCACCAGCACTACACAGCTAGGGCCGTCGGCTCTCTTCATATGTCAAGTTTCAAGTTCAACTTTAACCCTAGTAGGGTTTATTTACTAGGTAAACACAAAAGTCACAAAAGTTACTTTCTTGGGTACTTTTAGTATCCTTACCACATATGGTACAATTACCAAAACAAACAAAAAATAAAACTTCTCCGTTGTATATTCTAGGGTTAAGCTTGCACTCTTCTTCATTCTCATCGTCGGGCTTACTTTGTCTGCTTACAGTTACTGTTGTTGCTGCTGGCTGTCATTTGGCTACTGTGTGTCTGTTTACTCTTCACTCTCAACTCTCCTGACTCCGTCCCCTCTGCACTCTACACCTCTCCCGACAATCATTTCTACTCATATTTTTACAGCTAATGAACGGCGACTGCAGAACCGACTCGAATTGGCGTGCAAATGAAAAAGCAAAAGAAAACAAAACAAGAATGGCATCCGAATTCAATAAAATTTTGTAGTTGACTCCATGGACGGCTGCCGCCCATGGATTATGGATAGGCGGTATGGGGTAAAAGCACCAAAATAACAAAAGCAACAAAACCAAATCGATTTGTACAGCTGGGCAGAGCGACACAAGGTATGCTTTGTATAAGGTGAGGCACTGCCCGACAGAGCTCCTGCTTTAAAGGTAATAATTTCAGAATTTCGATCCCTTCTGAGAGATCTAGTCTATAAATACCGCACCTTACGACAAAACATACCTTGCACAAAGAATCGTTCCTGACTGTGATGAGCGGGGCAAGAGTGAGTACGAGTTATTGACATGGGAAATGAACAGTTTGATGAATTGAAAAACGCTTGAGTTCTAACGTACAAAAGGGGCGGATGGGCGGGTGATAGGAACCGGTTGCAGCGGCTATTGGATCTAACTGTTATTTCGATTTATGCTTTATTGAAGGCAATTTGTTGTTCCACTCTGTCTTTCTTTTTTTGCGTGCTCGAATTATAATTGCCATCGTAAGTTGCTCGCTTTTTGTTGTTTATTGATTTTACAATTTCAACAAATCAATTGGGGAAGAATATCGCCTCACATAGAGGGGATTTTTATGGCCGTATGGGAACCGCCATTGGATAATGATCCCGAGATGAATGATGACTGCAAGATAAGCAAAACCTTATATAAATGTTTAACAATTCAAACATCACATCACCAGCGAATGAAAGTAACAAATAACAACATTTAAGCGTAGGCAATTACTTGTATAAAATAATTGCAAAAATATTCAAGGAATGCGGTTAAACCGAAAGGCAGTCAGGCAACAAAGACAAGAAATATGGAAAGTGGCAGAACGAAGCCTTAGATACCCTTTAGGACTTAACGTTACCATACACAAGAAGCTACAACCAGACTTATGGCATTAGCAAAAGGAGGGACGGACGGGACAATGTCCCTGACACGTCTTACAGGTGCCAAAGTGCATTGCAAGCTTCCTATCTAAGTCATATCATCCAGTGCATGGAAGGGCATCACAAATGCTAAGCATTTCCAAAGACGTTGACAACGCGCACCCTAACACTACCACACACACGATCGAAGGCGAATGATTCATCGCCTCTCCATTGACACACTGAATTATGCATAAGCAGCAAAACTTAAACTCTCTCGCACTCCCACTCCGTCCATAGCTCGCTCTCACCCTCTCTCTCTCTCTCGCAATCACACGTGCCCTCATGAGAGACGCATTAAAAAGCAATAACAATTCTCCACTTGAACTTGAAAACTCCAACAGCACAAGGGCTGGGGAGAGAGACGGAGGAAGAGACAGAAACAAAAACAGCAAATGCAAAGCATTTTAATTGCATCTTTAAATGCCAATAAAAGACAGATAGTGGAGGGAGCGAGAGAGTGCGAGAGAGTGATGTTCCCAAAGTTTGTTAATTTGCTAAAAATAGATGCTCTCTCAATAGTTGCTGCTGCGACGTTTCCGTTGCTTGTCTTGCGGTTTTTTGTTGATTTTCTTTATCTCCTAGCCAACGGCTGAGCTGATATTTATGCCCTTGCAGAGGGTATGCTGATTTTGCAATGAAAATAAACTTAGCGCTGGACTCTCCAAACGATATGTGAGAGAATATACCAGTCGGCTTCAGCAGCAGATTTATTTATGGTTTTTTTTGCGTTTCTTTCTCTCTTTCCTCCTATAATTCCCCTATGGATCTGCTTAAATTTGTGTTTCTGCTTTGATTGATGATGCCTGATTATGAGTCACTCAACTCCGATCGGAGGTGGCGGTCGGGGCCTTGTCTATCGCATGGGAGGTGTGGCGCAAGGTAGAGCAAGACGGAAACTAAACTAAGCTGCAAAGCAAAGCAAAGCAGTGGATGGCGTAGCAGAGCACAGTGGATCGCAGAGCAGGGCAGTGGGTAAGTGGGTTAAGAGGGAAATTGATGTCCACGAGTGTCGTCTAATAATGTGTATATATTGACATGTCATGGTAATCTGATATTGTGCGATATGGGGCGGACATTATGACGATGATGACTTGTTGAATTAGTGCCACATAAACACGGAGACTGATAAAATGGTTTTGCAGAGCAGAGAAATGTAATAATAAATTAAACTGAAAATCTCTTTAAATGTTGTTTGCTTTAAACATTCCATCACAGTTTCCTCCCTTCTCGCCATGCCCTCTTCCTGCCACACCTGCCACACATCTCACGGCGTTGCTGTCTGTCCGTCCCTCTCTCTGCTATCTGTGGTATTGTTTTGCTTGGGGCAAACAGACAAAAGCGTTGACAAACCCATGGTATGGCCCCACCCACGCAGGCCCCTCTCTTCGCACTCCCCCCACCCACCACTCCACGACTCTTCTTCTGTCAAGTGCAGTGAACCGTTTTGGGGCACGTCGCTGGGCAAACAGAGAAATGGGCGAGAGAACATAAAAACACGTTTCCGTTCTGCACAAAAGCGTAAAAAAAAACAGAAACAATTTATGGCGCAAGGAAAATTGAAATAAATATAGAAAAAATATAACATTTGTTGGGTTATTTCTGTTTTATATTTGCATGCCACTCCATGTTCCTTTTTTCAGTCCTTTTCTGACCCTCTTTTTTGGGGCCTATTTTCCGTTGCTTTATCGTGTTCCCTATTCCATTCCCTATTCCATTTGGATTACAAAACTTACCACACTGACTCCCATTGATCGACATTCCCGCCGCCGCCGCTGCCTCCTTGGCCTGCTGGTTGGCTCCACTGTTGCTGTGCAGAATGTCGGAGAGGGAGAGCGAGGAGGCGATCAGCTGGCGCTTCTCCTCAAAGTTGAGGAAATCCATGGAGTTGCTACGCTGCGGCGTCACCGTGATGGTCACCGACTTTTGCATCTTGGCCACGACGCACAGCTGCTGCTCGAGATCCGCCGCAGCGGCGGCACTGGGCGAATCCGGCGGAGATCCATGTGATCCGGGTAGATCGATGCCATCCGTGAGATCGGGCGGTGGCAGCGACTGCTGTTGCTGCTGCTGCTGCTGTTGCTGCTGGGGGTGGTATGTGGAGTGGTGCATCTGGTGCTGCGTTGCCGGATGCTGGCCGTAGTAAGTGAAGGCCGACTGGGCGGTGGCGGCACTGTACGAGGGCGGACCCAGTGGCGAGTGGGGCGGTGCATGGGCCACCCGTGAGGCAGCCGCCGGCGATAATTGATAGCCGACTCCACCGCCGGGCGAACCTGCCCCCGTTGGATCGTGCGAGCCATTGATGGCCGCCACCAGTGTGGCCAGATTGTTGCGACTGGTGTTGCTACCCATCTGCGAAGGGGAGGGGCCGTACTTCCCATGCGCCTGAGCCTGGGCCTGGGCCTGGAATTTGTGCTGCTGCTGCAGTTGTGCGAGCAGTTGTTGCTGCTGCTGCTGGTAGGCCATCGGCGGATGTTGCAACTGTTGCCCCGTGCCGCTGCCACTCCCACTGCTGTTGCCACTCCCATTGCTGGCCGTCGATTGCTGGCTCTGCAACTTGTTGCTTCGCAGCGACATGGCGGTGTCTCGCTGTAGGGCACAGGCCTGTATCCGGCAGAAAGGTTCCTCTGCTGTTGCGTGAATGGAAATTGCTGTCTATCGTTTGCCCCCCATTTGTCACGTGACTTTTGTGTGGCGCACTAATTAGCAAAGGAAATGGGTAAACCCGGGCACAGCCTCGCGTGCGTGGGTTGTTTCTGCACTTCACTTTTTTTCTGCGTGTCACACTTTTTGTATAAGTTTCACTTTTCAACTGCTTAACTGCTGGTTACTCCACTTGTTGCTTAATTGCTGCAATTAGAACACTTGTTATAGAGATGGCGTTGGGGCACAGTCAACTGGCAAGAGGCAACAACAAACAGCTAATACTTTCGTCTTATTGTTTACAACATCTTTGACACACTATGCGAACTGTATTTTGTTCATTTTTCAATGATTTAGCGATCAATAATCGATAACAGTAGATCATTTATTTCCGATTTAATCTTTTGTTCAAATTAGTTTACTTGAAAATTGGAATTTCATTGATTTTCAATGACAGAGCGATTAACAATCGATAAGAGTCGATTAATTTTTAAAGATTTCACTTCTGTAACGTCGTCATAGCTTCTATAACATTTGAACTCCTTTTGGAACACTTTTTAATAATAAAACTCATCAGAAAAATAAAATTCTTTATTCTAACTCGGATTCAATACGAAGATTATATTTTCGATAATTATTTCGATAATTATTCCTATGATTTTTAGTCTTTCTCTAACAATTGACCAACTTTGACATAATCTTCAATGAAAAAGTCACCAAAATCAACGTTCAACTTCAGACAATAACAGATTTAAATCTTAGTTAAAGCTTCTTCAACACTTTAGCAACTCTTTCGGTTAATCTGCACAGCGATAAACCGCACATTCAACCCACATTCAACAGCAAACAACCAACAATCAAGCAACCAACCGACAACCACTGGAGCAAGTGCCATTCAGCAAAATGTTTTCAATTTGATGAAAATTAACTGAAAATGCAGCAATGCTGAGGCAAGCAGTGCGCCCTGCCCCAGCAGAGTGGCATGCCCCACCAACCAACCAAGCAACGAACCAAGCAAACACCAGCTGCAAACCACAAATGCAAAAGCAAAAAGCAACAACAACAATAATAGGAGGCATGGGCCACTTGTCGATGTCATCATCAAAAACGTTACCACTGCTGGCAGCTGGTTAAGATGGAAGAGATGTACGAAGGTGGGAGGGAGAGCTCTTGAAGATGGAAAGAGACTCTCTGGAGGAAGCGTATGAATGGCTGAAGAAGGGAGAGATCCAAATGGAAATCCTAGGAAATGGAGCATCCTCTCATGTGCAATGCCACTGGCCACTTGAACTGAAACAAAAGACAAAACGAACAGAAAACGAAAACGACATGGGAAGGCAGAGTGGGCAGGCTGGGAGCTCCGTTAAAGGATGCCCCAAAGGCAACAAAGGAAATGCAACCACAAAACGAGAAAGAAACAGTGTAAAAAGGGGCTCCAAATTGAAGTGTCTCGAGGGGAAATCGAGTGTAACCAAGTGGAGAGAGAGTCGGAGAGAGAGGGAAGTGGGTGCAGAGAGCGGAGTTATACCCCATTTAAGCTCTTTAAGATATCTAGATATCCAAGGAGCTATGGGAAATGTGGAAGGTCTCAAGATAAGCCAATAAATTGCATGAACGAGGGAAATCTCCATGCTTCAAAGACGAGTGTGAATTGCAGACATTGTAGAAATCCCTTCTGCACCTCGGAGAATCACAATCCTCCTCCTCCACCCCCGAAAAAAAAAAGGTCAAATGCAATGAGTTGGCAGCTCTGCGTGTCAGGCGGAGTTCAAGTTGGAAGCAGAGAACTTCTCTTATTGGAATGCAGATTGAAAAGCAGGTAGAAGTGCCATCGAACGGAGAAGTACAGGAGTGGCAGAGAGAGGGAGAGAGAGGAGACGTAAGAACACGCAAAGTGCACAGGTAAGCGGAATAGTGGAAAGGTAGGGAAAGAGGCTGATGATGACAGGATACACAAAAATACAGAACCAGAAAGGGAGGAGAGGAGAGACAGATAAAAAGGGATTGCCTGTTTTGTTCGCTCACTCACTCGCAGGCGAAGCTGCGGCCCAAAGAAGAGAACCAAAAACTACGGCGAATTGGTATGCCATGTGCGTGTTCTCATCTTTCGCCCTGCACTGCTCCCCCCACCTAGACATGTTTACGTTCCCTTTAAGTTGTACATACATTCTCCGGAAATATGAACGAACATTTTAAAGATATTTTTCTTCTCTGTTTTTGGTTACTTTGTTTGTGGCCCACAAAATATCCATCAATGTAGAAATTGGTAAGCAGAACAGAACCAAACCGATGAAAAGTGTTGGCCGAAATCTTGGCTAACTGTAACACTAGGCTTGTGATGGGCGGCGGGGAGGGGATCCATAGATGTTGTTGTGTCTGTGGTGGTGGTGGTGGTGGTGGTGGCGGTGGTTGTTCCAGTGCACTGACTTTTGCCTCGTTAGCTTACATTCTGTTTTTAGTTGCTTGTTTTTCTTCATTTTTGTTGTGGATTTGGCGCGCGACGCCCATTAAAAAGGCGGCCAGGCGAGCATTTAAGAATGAATGAGAGAGGGGGGCAGAGAAGAGTGAATGTAGAGCGGCAACAATTACAATGGGCAAACTTTTAATACCTAGAAATCGCAGGTTACAGAGGGTATATGCATTTCGACGAAAACTACAAGAATATCATCTACCGATTCACCAAAGTTCATCCAAATTGGATAGTTTATATAGGCAAAAATAAATCAACTGTTTCAGGCATAAATTGTCCTTTCTTTATTATAATTCTACATGATTTTCCAGTATATTTCCATAATAATGGGTATCCTTTAGTCGACAGTATAGTTTCTATGCTCTCAGGCCTGTTAGTTTTAACAGGCCTCTCCTCCATTCAGGCAGATACTATAGAGCAGAGCGAGTGGGACAGGCAGACAGACAGACAGACGATTGAATTAGCAAATGCGCGGCTCTACAGAGAGGCGAGGGAAGGTAGGGAAGCCCACCAATAGATATGAAGAGTGGAGTAAGAGAGGGGGTTAGCAATAGAGAGCGGCGGCATATTGCACATGTGCAACGTCAGCGACAGCGAGCGAATATTAAATATGAAGAGAAAGAAGAAGTTGGCGGAGAAGAGGGAGCAGCAAAGCCTAGAGAGAATAGGCTCTGTGTCTATCCCGCTCTAACTTGCAGGCAAGTTCATTGAACCTCATTTACAGTTCACTAGTTTAACGCCATACATTCCCCATGGGCCAGAGAGGGACGCGCACAGCGCAGGGGGCCCGGGCAAACAATGGGTGTGCAAAAAAAAAAAAATGGGGAATCGAGAAGGGAAAGCGCTGAGAAATAACTGGAGACAAAAACGAAACTAATGCGATTTGTGGTAGCAGCAGCAGCAGCAGCAGCAGCACAGATTCAAAGAGATTTCGTTTGGAGTGGCGCCGCCACAGCCGACAGCCAAAAGCAATCAAATCCAATTAAGAGCAAAAAAAATAATGGCAGCATAGCATTGGGTGGAGGGGGAGTCAAAGAGGAAGCAGAACTTTGTTTCAGTTCGAACAAATCTGTGTTTTTTTTTGTATAAGCGTCTCTGCCAATATGTAAACGCAGCAGCAGGCGCAAAAACTTTGCTCAAAGAGAGCACAACTTAAGAGTACAGCAGCAAGAGAGAGAGTGAGAGAGTTAGGGCAAACAGCAGCCGCAGTAACAGAAGTATCAGCAAAAACCCAACAACAATAAACTCTTTGACCAGCCAGCTGCTGCTACGAAGCGAGTCTCTGCACAGTGGAATGCAGGTGTTTAATTTCGCAATAAAATGGAAAGACTTAATTGCCTTGGCAGATGTGTGGGCCATGCAGAGAGTTTCAGGGAAAACAAATTAACGAAGGTTCCCAGGCTAATTCCGAATCACTGTGCCGTCACTGCCACTGCACAGTGGGACTGATAATTGTGCATGCAATGATGTAGTGTGATCAAGAAAGTGGTTGTTTGCCAGCTGTATGCTCATGCCATCCCACTGTGCCGTCATTTACACTGCACAACAATCCACAAATACAAGTGTTCGGGGTGGCTGGCGGCTGCTGCTGCTAATGGAACACAGGGCAGCGGCGGCAGAGGAAGAAACAGCGCAAATGGAAGCCGCTGCTCTGTCTGTGCCGTGTGTTGCTCTTGCTCTCTCTCTCTCTGTCTCTGCCTACAATGCACCAACAAAGCAGCAGCAAATACAACAAAAGCAAAACAGCAGCAGACAGCAAATACAACAAAAGCAATACAGCAGCAGACAGCAAAAACCAATGGACAGACAGCAGCAGCAGCAGCAGCAACAGAGGGGAGACGACAGCCTCTCATTGTAGTAGTTGTTGTTGTTGTTTTTGTTGGTGGCAGAGTCCAAAGGCAGCAAAAGTTCTGTTCCCCAAAGCGGAAGAGAGACAGACAGATGAGAGGGGGAGTGGGCCAGAGAGGGGGTGTCACAGTTAGTGCGTTCAGTATGTTCCCATAAATTTAAATTTGCGCGCAAACGGCGCCCACAACAACAACAACAAGAGTAAGAGCAGCGCAGCAGCAGCAGCCCGAGCCAGCAGCGGGATGGAGAATGAACAGCAAAAGGCAATAAAAGAGAGAATGCGTTTTCTTTTTTTGGGGGGTGGCTTTTGGGCAGGCAACTCAACTTTAGGGGGAAGCTGTGTTGTGTCCTAGGGGGGAGGGGGTAGAAATGTTGTATATAACGGGATTATGTTGGGGGTCGAAAGTCGTTGCCAGAATGGGAGAGAGGAGATATGGGGAGTGGAGCACAACAAAAAGTAGTAAAAGCAGCCAGAGGGTGTTAAACATTTCTCCACTCTTGGGATACACATACACAAGCATACAGTCGCTGTAAGGGTAAGAAGGAGATGGGCGGCGACATACTATCAAGAAGAAGAAGAAGAAAACGACGAAGAGACAACCTCACCACCAGCAGCAAGTGCCAGAGGAGCACAGAGAATCCGTCTAGACAACATTGTAAGTAGATAAAAATATTTGTTTGCCTCCTCCATCCATACCGCAGCAGAAGGAGCAAAGGAAATAATGAAGTAAGCTCTTCCTATCGCACGGTCGCTCTCACTCACTCGCTCGCTCCCACTATTCGATAAGGAAACAATTGTTACGGGTTTTTTTCTGTATTCAATGGATTGCAACATCATTAACGGTGTTTACGGATAAGATAAGGCACGCACAGAAAACGATTACCGTACATTTTTCCACTTTGCTTTACTTCGTGTAAAAATTCAATTTCGCAAAAAGGGAAATTAATTATACTACAGGAAAAATGCTCTGTCTCGCTCTCTCTCTCACGGTCATGCCTAACTGTTATTATTTGTTTATGCTTTGATTATGGCTCTCTCTTTCTCTTCTTTCCTCTTCCTCATTTGGTTATTGATATTTTTATGGCTCTCCTCTTCTTACTTTCTTGATTTTTTTTTTGTTATTGATTTCACTTTTTGTTGAAAAACATTTCATGTTTTTCTCACAAACAAAACACATTCCGAACCGCACGTGTGTTGTTGCCATTGTTTTTGTTATTTTTTGTTGTTGTTTGCCATGCGATCACACCTGTCTGGGGCTACGTCACCGCTATCGCTGGCTCACAGAACTGTTTTTGCCTATTATTTACCATATTTTCTCATATTTCTTTTATTCCCACACACTCTATTCCGTTTAAGCACATTTGTTTTATGGAAATCCAAGGGAATTTTCGAAAGAAATATACAGAAAATAGTGGGTTTCTGCATCGAAATGCATCGAGCGGGCAGCGCAGTCGCAGTCGGCTGAGAATGCGACGTCAGCTGCTGCGTCACGACGACGACGCCGCCGCTTGTGTCAGAAGTTGTAAAACCGGATTTTCCTTTTTTGGGCGCGCGCGGCTGTTGTATCGCTTATTGTTGTTGCCTTTTGCACTTTGTTTTTCGATTTGTGTTTGAAATTCCTCTGGTTTTTTTTATTGATGAAAAAATGTTAAATTGATCAGCGTTTGCTGTCTCTTTTTCACTCAAGGGCAGCGAAGCAGAGATCGCTATCGCTGCCTTTTCTTCTTCTTTCTCGCATTCTTTTGGAACGCATCTTTCTTTTCCTCTCACTCTAACACACACACACACACACTTACACTTGTTGTTGGTGGGGCGACTGCAATAACAAATTTCACAGTTTGTTGCTTGCTTTTCTTTTATTTACTAATAATTTATTAAAGCAAAAACTAACACACACACAACACACACACGAACGGAAAAACGCCAAGCGACGCGCCGCAAAAACAAAACGAAAACGCAAAAGGCGGAAAAAAACCGAAAAACAACAAAGCCGCTTCTAAATTTTGCCGTTGGCTAGAAATTTGTTATTAGCCGTGAAATTAACTTTAATTCGAACTAACTATTAATTTTTGTTGCTTTTTTTAAGCTGATTTTCGACGTTTGGCGGCACAAAACAGAGCGAACGCAACGCGCGCGACATAGAGAATAGAGAATTCAAATACATTCCACGAAATCCACACGACATCCACACTAATACCAAATCAGCTGTTTACTTTTAAATTTGCCCAAACGCGTTGAGTTGCTTGCTTGCTGTCGGGAGAGCGAATTGCTCAATTTTGCGCATGATGAAATTGTAGAAGGTGTTGTTTCCGCAGTGGGCTCTCTTTTCGAGCTTGGACGTGTATGAGTATGAACAAGACCCGAAAGAGAGGAACACACCACCACCTTATATAAGTTCTATCATGATTTTGCCTCTCAAGAAAGAGGAGTAGAAAGAAGAGAAATAAAGAGAAACCGAAGCAACATTCTGCAGAGCTGTGAGCAAAACAAAAATGTTGCCAGCAAAGGCAAACAAACTTAAATATAAGACTCTGGGTGTCAAAGATTTGATACCCTTTCGAATTTTTATTTTAATGCCAGCTATGTAAACCTATGAGACTTTGACACTCTTTTTAGAGTTCTTCTCGCAAATTGTTTATTTGATATCCACGGAATTATGCTAATCCTATGGGTAGCAATTAAAAGGAAAGGATGATGCCAATAAACTCTCATGCCCCTCAGAATCAAAACTACCTCCCCAATCTCACCAATTGAATGGAAACTGTGTCTGGAAAATGTCGAAATTACGTATCATTGAAAATCCATTTACATTCCAATTTAAAGCAAACGATAAGCAAAGAATGTTTTGTTTTGCACGCACTACACCCCACTTCCTTTTACTTTGTTTTTACACAAGCACACACCCACACACATTGAAATACAATAAACAATAGCTGGAAAATCTCTTCAAGTATTTTCCAAAGTGGCGGATGACGTCTACTATTTTTAGGCCTACATTTTATTTTGGTAATTATTTGGAAACTTTTGCACAATCGCACGGAAAAATATAAAGATACACACGCATACATAGGTACAGTGAAGTTCCCCTAGACGGAAACATGTCGTTGCAGTGATTTTGTGCAATGTTTTGGCGAAACAATTTGGAAAAATGCATTAAAATTATGAAGCTATAGCAGCTGTCCTGGTAGGGAGATGTCCCTAATGCTGAATTTCACTGTATTTTCCGTCGAAGTGTATGAAACAGAAAACGGAAGCTCTCTGTGGGTGGGAAGGGTTGCTATGGAGAGGGGGACGTGGTGACGTTGGCGCAGGAATTTTGTTTGTATTTTTGTCTTGTTTTCAAAATACAAAAATGCCGGCAAATCCATAGCAGAGCGCAAGTCAAAGAGAGAGCGAACATAAAGAGAGCAAATATAAGATAAGAGAGAGAGAGAGAGCAAAATTGACAACAGTTTTTGAGGCGCTAAAGTGGTTTGCAGAGAGTGTTTATCATTGAAGTGCATGCTAAACTGTTTGCAATGGAATGTGTGAGCATCTTAAACTGTAAGAGTAAATGTAAAACTGGAGGCGCGAAACTCGGGGGAATTTGAAATTTTTGCCGAGCGGATTGAAGGACTTTTGAGGGGTAAAAACTGTAGAAAAGGAAACCACGTGAATGTGCAACTGTTGAGAATATTGTAAAACTGTAAAATTTTGCGATAATGAGTGGAAAATATTCGCTTTTCTTTAGGGGAAAAACTATGCCTCACTCAGGTTTTGTAGCACTGTTTGGAATAGGTTTATCTGTGGTTAAAATTAAATATAAATATAATAAAAATCATATAAAAAATAATAAATTTATAATATATAAATATAAAAAAAAATTGTGTTTGGCGAGCGGTTTCCTCTTGCCTCCTACTCTCATCACAAAAAATCCCACTTCATTCCATATTCCATACAATTCATACAGCACCCACCCATACACCACCCCACGCGACTATCCTTCAACAAAATTAACTTGGGAGTCCTGATAAAAGAGCTGCCCATTCATTTTCAACTTAATTTATATTGTATTTTAGATGCAAAATGCACAACAGCCAAAGGAGAAGAAGAAGATGAAGAAGAAGAAGCAGCAGCAGAGACTGCAACAATAGAGGAATGAACAAAGGGAGAGGGGGAGTGGTGTTGAGGTAGGGGGTGCAAAGAGAAGCTGCTTTAATTTTACAACTTGACAAATTGAATGTTTTGTCGAGTGAAAACTGGAACAAAGCAAAAGAAAAAGAAAAATAAAAAAAGAGTACAAAAAAACTATTATCAGAAAACGAAGCATGGGATACCCTGCAATATTTTGGTACCCACAAAGGGATTGGAATCGGATGAAATTTATTTGCTTGGAGTAAAACTGTGCCATGTGAGCTATACGATTATTATACAGTGATGCAATAAATAAAATAAGGAAATAAGATGCTCCTGCTGCTAGTTTCAGTCAGTTAACTTTGCCCAAACCGGAACCCTCTGGAAGGGTAACCAAAGAGAAGTTAATAATGCCAAAAAGAAGTAGAAGTAGTAGAATAAACTGCAGCAAGACAAAGCAACTGTACAGAGGGCGGTGGCGAGAAGAGCGCGTGGAAAGGAGTGGAAAGGGAACGGCTACCAAGAAAACGGATTCAAAGGAACTGTTCCCAGAAATCCCAGTCTTTCTTGGAGAACCTCTTTACCCCACCATCCCCCCCCACCACTGAGCTACGATAACGATAATTGTCTCAACAAATTAACATTGCCAAAGGTCAAATTGCATTTGGCTGGGGGGAATTTCAGATTGCTTCCGTTTCATGCCGCCCACACACACACACACAATAGATACTCCCCCCACTCCATAGACTCCCTACTGCATACCACCCCCCCCCCCCCCCACACGCTCTGCTTAGATAAACGAAACCTTTATTAGTAATGCAACGCACGAATCACAAAGCAGCCATAAAGACGAGACATTGGGGGCCGAAAAAGCGAAATTAAACCGAAGACCACCCCGCCCCCACCGAAAACAGTAGCCACAAAACAGACACAGAAACAGAAACAGAAACGGGGGGAACGTGCCACGGTCAAGAGTGACCTACCGCACACACACACACGCCCCCATACTCCCTTCCCGCTCTCCCGCTGAAGCTTCTGCGGAGTACACAGAGCTCCTACCTAACTACCCACCGAAAAATAAACAAAAACTTTGACTATAAAAGCGACCACCTTTGGGGTTGGTAAATCATATCAGTTTCTGTTCCGCCAGCAGCCACAACCCGATCCCACCAAGATGTTCAAGTTTGTGAGCCCCCCCCCAAAGGAACAGGACCCCCGCCAAGAACAGGGGATCCTTGGCGCTGCTCATTCACAAATCTCATTCTCGTGTCTTCTCTTGCAGTTCGCTCTGTGCCTGTTCGCCATCGTCGCTTTGGCCGCTGCCAAGCCCCAATTTCTGACCGCCTACAGCGCGGCCACGCCTTATGTGGCAGCCACGCCCTACGCAGCCTACACGGGCGGTGTTTACGCTTCGCCCTACACCGCTGCCTACACCAGCGGCGTGTATGGCGCCTCGCCCTATGTCTACAGCGCGGGCTATCCCTACAGCTCTCTGTATCTGAGACGTTAAATGCATGCTCAGACTTTCGATGGAGTGTTTACTGTACTGGGAGAGTGTGTTTACTGTACTGGGAGAGAGTGTTTACTGTACGATAAGCCCCGATGACAACTTAATGAACGAATAAAACTGATAATTCCTGATGGAGAAAAAACGAAAGATCCCGAAAACTATTTACTGTCCTTTCCAGCTTCCCGACTCCGCAGGGGCAGGTTGGTGAGAAAGTGAGGGGAGCGTGGAGTGGCAAAAGTGAGGGGCGTGGGTGGCGGGGTGGAGTGACAAAAGTGAGGGGTAAAGTGAGTGCCAGAGCAAGGGGCACGGGGCAAGGGGTAGCAGTTGCAAGAGATTTTTTTTTTAATATTTACGAATTTGCTGTTTGGTTTTTGCCTTTGCAATTTCCGTGGGAGCTATCAAAAGCATTCGCCTCGTATATCATGTTGCAAGTGGCAGCCAGATACACAGCATGCTGGCAATGGGGAGAGGGTGCGGGGGGGGGCATCTGTTGGTGGCATGCGTCGGCATTTGCATCGTTTGCTAAAATGTGCAAATTATGGCAACTAAGTTGCCGCATGTTGTCCCGAGCACGCATTGGGTTAAGTGTAGTCAAGAGGGGGAGAGAGAGAGGGAGCAAGAGGGGAGCGACAAGTGGGGAAGATGCTGCATGGACTTTACTTCAGGTTCCACTTGGGTGGGGTGGGGTGGGGGATATCTTTCCCCGGCGTTCCCCCCACTCACACTTTCCGTTCCGTTGCATTCTTTTCTTTTATTTTCTTAGTCGCCCATTTGCATAGTGCTCATGTGTGTGTGTGTGTGGGTGTGATTACACGTGTGGGTATTGGTGTGAGTGCAGTGTGTGTGTGTGTGTGTGTGTGTGGCATGCTTTCAGGCGCATTGTGCACCGTGGTCTGGAATTGGCTGCAAATGCAAATGCCACAAGCAGCGCCAAAAAAGGAGCATTCAAAATGCAAACGAAAACGAAAACGAAAATTGGGTCACAAATGATAACAAACAAAATGAAAAGGAAAACTGCGTCCAAATGATGAATACGTAACGGAAAACGGAAAACGGGGTAGGAAATAATCATAAATACAAGTGGGTTTGGCATAAATGCAAATGCATTTGGATAAGCAAGGAAATTGGCTGCTCAAGTTATTCCTGATTGGTTGAAGTAGGGGGAAATTGGGGGAAATTCAAGAGCAAGCAAGTGGGAAAGAGACAGGGTAAGAATGGGAGACAGCAAGGGCAAACGAATTCGATTTAAATCTGCACTGGAGAACGACATGTTTAATAGCTAAAACGAGAGGAAGCATGGCGGGATAAAGCTCATGGGAAACACTCGAAATAATTAAAAGAAAACGAAATCAAAGCACACAACATTTATTATCGTAAGTTCTAGCCCCAACTGTGTGTTTTTTCCATTTTCCATTTCTCACCTCTAAAGCACTCAAATTAAATAAAAAAAAAAAAAAAACTTCAACTTTTCACTTAATTTTTCCATTATTATCCCCATTGTTTTTCTTTGAGCTTTGTCTTTGTTCTCCGCTGAAGAACAAACAGGCAACTGTTTGCATTCCCATTCCATGCATCCCACTGTGCAGCGGAAGTCCCCCACTGTACGCTGCTGGGTGGGGAGGGGGTGAGGATAGAGAGGATAAAAGCCGCCGTCATCAGCAGGAGGCAGCGTCATCGCCATGTGGAAACTTTGCGTTTTTTTTTTCTTTTTTAAGGTTCCTGCCTGGGAATAAGCTTAGAACAAACTTTGAGATATATGTGGAAAAATTTCCAAATCCAAATCTAATTTGCATCGAGGTGGGATGACGGTAAGCCACAGAAGGCGACGCCTAACCATAGACTTCCATGGAGGAAGCAAGCCGACGCCTACCACATCCTTGATAGAGGAAGTCGGCAACGCCTGCCCCATCCTTGATAGAGGAGGTAAGCGACGCCTGCCTCAGAATTATAGGAGCGCAGAGGCGACGACGCCTACCACATCCGCTCGCTAGCCGCAGACTTCACAGAAACGAAGGCAACTCAATAGAGCAGGAGGCGACTCCTGCCACAGACTTTAATAGAGCAGAAAAATCCCACGCAGTAAGGCACCGCCTGCCCCATAAGTAAACGTACACCCACAAACGCCAAATATCGCTGGAGAGTGGGGGAATGTCAAAAGTCATTGCATACATTTCGGGGGTGGGAGTAAGACCAAAAGAAGTCCCTCCCTCCCACGCTTCTTACTCCTTCGGTTTTTCTTGTGAAAATCCGCCCACGAACTTTGGATTCGCCTCATTATACTGCTCATGTGTGTGGGATGTAGTCCATCAATGTCAGATGCTAGACTTACCTGCAAAAGAGACAGAAAGAGATTCAGGCATGAGAAATTGAACGAATAATTCAGGTGAAATAAAGTCAAGTGTTTGCATGGGCAAGTCCCTGCCCCAGCAGGTAAATAAATGCCAATAGAAAATGATAAAATGAGCAAGTGATAATCACAGATACGACGAATGCAGAGATGCCCTCAACGCCAGGGGTCTCTCTGCGAGGAAAAGGTAACCATAAGTAGAGGGAACTCTAACTCACAACACAAAAACCAAGAATTGATAGAAATAAATTCTAAGAAAACAAACGGACTAAATATTGCCAAGATGCCTGAGATTTTTAATCTAACAAAACTTTTAAAAAATAAATAACTTGTCAGCCATTCATTCTTGCCCATTTCTTTAATTGCAAACCCAAGTCAAACCTCTGCTTAAAATCCTTGTACCCCACTTTGTATAGGGCATGTGATTTTGCCACTTCATTGGTCTTGTTTTTTTTTTTTTTTTGGTATGTTTGTGTGTGTTTTGTGGAATGTTTTTGTGCCTTTTATTGTTGTTTGTGGCCATAGAAAAAGAAAAAGCAAATAACTGAAGTCAAATCAAATTAAAATGGATGTCCCCGACTGTCAGCAGTTAGTTTCAAGACATTAAAGGAGCCAATCGAGAGGAAATTTCAAAGAAGAAAAGATGTAACGATGAGACAGTAGATATATAAATAGAAATAGGTAATAATTGATGAATGAATTTTCAGGCTATGTAAAGCAAATAAAATAGTTTCAAAATGTGTAAAATAATTAAAAGGAAACTCGTTTGCATTGCAGCAATATTAAATTAACAAAAAATCTAAACGAAAAAATCTCGCCTCAGGCATGCAATAATTTTACTCCGCCAATCAATCTATTAAATATGTATGTAAATATTTGCAAAGGAAAAAAAAAAAAAATAAAAATTGAAGGAAATTTCATGAGCAATTTTTCGCTGTTCTGCTTTGGCTTGAATTGATGATTAAATCATGGCGCTTATCAAATTTCCCCGCTGATTAATGATGGCCCCAAAGCGTGAGCGGGGGGTGCAAATTAATTGCTCGACTATTAGCCCATATAGCAAGGACCCCAAGCAGCCAAGGACCAGCCAAGCACTCAACAAGTGATTACGCCTCGAAAACTGGCGGCGAGGGGGTTTCGGTATCCATTTCGTGGAAAATGGGTTAAAGGATTCTTTTTGTTCTCTTTTTCTGTCCCCTTTGAAGTGGAATATATGTGTGTGTGTGTGTGTGTGTGTGTGTGTGTGTGTGTGTGTGGGTGTGTGGGGTGGTATGTGTAATTGCGGGTCCTGGGCTTAACGCCTACGCATTAAAAATTCATTGCCAGAGTGGGAGAGTGGGAGTGGAGTGGGAGTGGAGTGGGAGTGGAGTGCTGAATGAAATGAACAACAGTTTGCCAAGGATTGCGAACCTCTGTTAAAAATGCAGAACAACAATTTCCGTTTCCGTTCGCTGGGTCGAGGCTTTAGTCGTAATTGCTGTTCTTTTCGCTTGCGAAACATCCTGCCAGCCCCCAAAAGGAAGAGTCGAGAGTCGTGAGGCTGGGCCTGGGCCTGTGCAGGCGTTCAGTTGGCCTATTAGCAGGCACAAATCAAGGTCCTGATGAGCAGCAGCAGCAGCGTGCAGGAGGAGGTGAAGCGTCGTTGACAGCTAAAGCAAAGCCTCGATGGCATCTCAATTGAAAAGGCAATTCATCTATCAATCGCGGCGGGCTCAACGATTCTTTTCTAGCGTTGATTGTGGGCCGGGCCTACTTTTCTAGCATTTAGTGTGGCTCTTGGGCTGTCTTTCCGTGTAGCTCCTGCTCTGTCTTTCAGTGTAGCTCTAGCTCTGTCTTTCCGTGTAGCTCCTGCTCTGTCTTTCAGTGTAGCTCTTGCTCTGTCTTTCAGTGTAGCTTTATCTCTATCCTTCACTCCTTCTTGAACGTTCCTTCAAGAGCAGCAATCCATCCATCTATCTATCGTTCACTGTAGCTTCCCTGCTCCTGCTGCTGCTGCTCCTCCCCCTCTGTGGGACCATCTTTCCATTGCTTAAACTTAATATCTTATAGCTTCCAGCACACACACGCTTAAGCTCAAGTCTGGCGTTAAATTGAATCCGCGGCAAACCGAACCGCAGCACAACAACAGCACAACAAATTTTTGCTCTTTTACTTTTGACTGCGTTCAACGTGGCGTATAATCGATTTTTATTCGATTTATATTATTTCTTTTGCTGCTTTAAAAGGAATTTGCTCAACCATTGCCGTTAGAGGTTCGCTCACAACTAAAATCAATTGCAAAACGCAGGCCAAAAAATACAAAAAAATACAAAAAAAAACTGTCACAATGGGGCAGGCAGGCAAGCAGGCAGGCGGGGGCAGTGAATGTTGCACTCGGACAATGGTTCTGTGCTAAGTTCTTCTGGGTTCTGTTTGGGCTCTGCCTTTGTCTGCCATTGAGTGAGGGAGGTCTGCTCTGGTCACTCACTGGCACCCAAAGAAGAATCCGCGAAGGTCGCTGGCGGCAGAAGAATGAAAACAGCAAAACATAAAACCCACATAAATCAATAGAATGCTAAGCGAATTGTGGGTCATACATGGGCCAGATGGTATGCGTAATGCTGCCACCAGAAGAAAGTGAAAAAAAACCAAAAAAAGAGACGTGAATTTTGGTATTGAATTTTTACCAAGTATTTTTGGGTACAATTTTTAGTTGAAAAAGTTATTTTAAAGCTAAAATAAACCAGTTCTTTTTACAGGAAATTTCTCTATTAATATTCCTATAAATTTTGAAATT